CGGTTCCTGAGAAGCTGAGGAGTTTTTCCCGATCCTGGCGTTCAGCTGGCGGGGGGAGCCAGGCTGGGCGATGGAGATGCTCCATGCCGTGGACGTAGAGCTCGGCTTACGAACGGGGGCTGCCCGGGGGCAGGATCCGTTTCTTTCTGTCTTTTCTGTCTGTCTGTCTGTCTCCTTTTCTGGGAGTTCAAACTTTTTCGTGAGTTTCACAGAATTTGTGGAATCCGTGATTTCCACGTTCCATCGCTGTTCGGGGAGTGACTGTGAGTCAGTCATCGGGCAATGAGCGAAACTGTATATAGCTTGTTTTGTATATTCATTATTAACATTATTACTATCATTATGAGTATTTCCTTTGTTGCCCTATTAAACTGTCTTTATCTGCACCTTCGAGTTTCCGCTTTTGTCCGTTTCTCCTCCCCATCCCGCAGAGGGGAAGGAGAGGGGGAGGGGTGAGCGAGCGGCTGTCGGGTCCCGTCCCCTGCCAGGTGAAACCACGACATGTGTGTGTAAGGACCGTGGAGGGGGGTAAAAGTCACGCTGATGACCTCTTCTCTTCTTCACACTAGTTCTTATAAATTCGGGATCAAGACATGAAGCGAAATACCTCAGTGGCATCTCTCACTTCTTGGAAAAGCTGGCCTTCTCCGTGAGTACCGGCCTTGTCCCGACCGGTCCCGGAGTCTGTGCCAGGCTCCGTAAATCTGCAGAGCTGAGAGCGGCCGAGGGCAGGGCCCGCTCCCCGCAGAGGCACCGCGGCTCTGATCTGTTTAAATAGAGGGTGGTGGTATTCCTAGTTAATTATTGTGGCTGTAATTATATTTTGAAAGACTGTTGTGCTTTCACCCCCAAGGTTAGTGAGTATTTAGCAAACCGTCTGATTTAAAGGATATAGAAGATGGTGCTCGTTCTGGGCTACACTGAAGGTTTATAAATAGTTATAGCTTTACAAATTAATAACACTGGTATCTTCTTTCTTAGTCCACAGCTCAGTTTGGCAGCAAAGATGAAATTCTCCTGACCTTAGAAAAGCACGGGGGCATCTGTGACTGCCAGGCGTCGAGGTATGATGCTCCTCCTCTGCGCTCTGCTGCCTGAGTGGTTGTAACACCGACAGCAGTTGGTGTTGCTTTTTCTGGCGTGTGACAGTAAAAGCCACTTTTTGCTTCTAAGCAGCAGAAATCCATTTGTGGCGACTGGTGAGACGCTACAAAAGCGAACCTGAAAGGCTCACAGAAGTCAGTTCTGTTTCCTTTTGAAAACATTTAATGAGTAATGGTCAGGCAGCTTTATCTGTGATTTCCTGATGCACATTTACCGAATGATGTGACCTCTCAGTGCAGAACCTGTCTGCTTGTGTTGCAGGGACACCATAATGTACGCTGTTTCTGCTGATGCCAAGGGTCTGGACACGGTGGTCAACTTGCTGGCCGACGTAGCGCTGCAGCCCAGGTTATCAGGTCTGGCAACTTCAGTCTCTGATACAAAAAAAGGCTCCCAACACGTGACTTGCTGTTAGATTCCAGAATTCTTCATTAGATTGTGCTCATCAAGAAGTTACCACGTAGCAATTGGGTATTTTGTGTGGTGGTTGTTATCTCTTGCTTTCTCTCTTATGACAGATGAAGAAATTGAGATGACTCGAACGGCTATACAATTTGAGCTTGAAGACTTGAATATGAGACCTGATCCAGAGCCTCTCCTCACAGAAATGATCCATGCGGTAAATCCCTGAAAAGCCTACCTTGCATGCAGTCCCCCGCGTGAGACGTGCTGCATTCTTTTCCTCAGATTTTCCTCAACTTCACGGTTTATTTTAGACTATTCTGAAAACAGATTTTTCTGTTAGATTTCAGTGGTTGGGAGGGAGAATTTTGCTGTCCCTCCACTTTGAATCCTCCATTCTACACACATGAAAGTGTTTTAGTTTAGGTTAAAGTATCTATAACCTATCTTTGTTGACATGGGTGACAAGATGTTGAGTTACGCTGACATTATGGAAATAATGCTCAGCCTTTCCTCTCTTACGTGTCTCAAACAGGCAGGAAAATTCTAAAACAAGGTTTAGATGGAGGGGGGTGAAGTAATATTTGTTACTTTAACGTATCTGTTTCCTTTTAGGCAGCCTACAGAGACAATACAGTTGGACTGAACAGGTTCTGCCCAGTGGAAAATACCGACAAAATTGATCGAGAAGTCCTGCATTCCTACCTGCGCAACTACTACACGCCAGACAGGATGGTGCTTGCCGGGGTGGGAGTCGAGCACGAGCAGTTAGTGGAGTGTGCAAGGAAACACCTGCTTGGAGCAGAGCCGGTGTGGGGCAGCGGGCAGACCAAGGACGTGGACAGATCTGTGGCTCAGTACACAGGAGGCATTGTCAAGGTAAAAGGAAGGTGGAGGTGGCATCGTGCCTCTTTCCTCTCTGGAGGTGCAGATTTGACTTGAGCTGATTTCTCTATTGGCTTTGCTTTTCTAGAATTACGTGCTGTTCATGAACACGAGCCAAAACTGGCCATGACAGCCATTATCTGGATGACATGTTAATTATTGGGAATGCATCAGGCTGGATACAACAGAGGTGAAAGTCAGTCCTAACAGTTTGTCTGCCCTTCCCACAGGTTGAAAAAGATATGTCAGATGTGAGTCTGGGCCCCACTCCCATCCCTGAGCTTACCCACATCATGATTGGGTTGGAAAGCTGCTCATTTTTAGTAAGTGTCAACCTAAAATCCTTTGTTTTGGGTGCCCTGTACTTGAGGAATCCCAGAATACTGTATCCCATTATGTAAACATTGGCACTCGCTGCTGATGCTGCACGTACAGACAAGCAGCTTTTTCACTGGCAGTTTGACGAAGGCACTGACCTTTATGCTCTTCTTGTGCCATGTTTCTTGCTGACTTTCTCCCTCTTTACTCATCCCAGACCCTTGAGAGCTCTGGTGTTAGCTGACTGTATTTCTTGTTGCAATTCAGGAGGAAGACTTCATTCCCTTTGCAGTGTTGAACATGATGATGGGAGGTGGTGGTTCTTTTTCAGCTGGAGGGCCCGGCAAGGGCATGTTCACCCGCCTGTATCTCAATGTGCTCAACAGGTTGGTTTGCCTTTCTGATTAAGGGACAGCAGAAACAGTCTTCTCTAGCAGGGTCACAGGGAAGGCTTTGTCTGTTGAAAGCCAGCACCTCCAGGTTTTACATCGGCTTGTTCCGCTTGAAACATGCAGGACTGAGTTGTCAGTGGGCCTTTTGAGAGGGTGAAAGGGCAGAAGTGACCAGGAGTCCTGTCTTCCTCCACTAGCCCAACCCGTCCTTTAATCAGGGATATTAACAGAATTGGCAGTACTGCTCTGTGTTGTTCTGGGTTTGGGCTCAAGGATGCAAGCGGAGAGAAGGAAGCAGGTGGCACAAGCAGAAATTGTGGCAGAGGCAGGAACTGACGGTCCTCACTGGCATTGCTGAGAATCCTGAAAATGCACTAGGAGGGGGAGTTGCTGTCCATGTGAGTTTGATTTTACATTTAAATTCTGGTTTTTTAAATTTTTAAATACTGTTTGTGTACTTACAGGCACCACTGGATGTATAACGCAACCTCTTACCACCACAGTTACGAGGATACAGGTCTGCTGTGTATACATGCTAGTGCAGATCCAAAACAGGTATACAGTCCTGTATTCAAAGATAGGTGTCCTTAAAAACTAACTGCATCAGTGATTACCAGACAGTAATCCTAACAGAATAAGCATCGTTGTAATCTTCTTTCAATTATCTGTTTTTCCTAGGTTCGAGAGATGGTGGAAATCATCACCAGAGAGTTCATTCTAATGGCAGGAGCGGTAGGAGAGGTCAGCAGCCTAACTTGCAGACTGTGCGGTCTTTGAGCGGAAATACTGCATTGCACTGGGCTTGCTAGAATGAATTTGTGTAGATAAGTATGTTAGGTATTTCTGTCAAAGAATATAGTAATTTTAGTAACACAGTCACAAAGAGGAAGGTGTTTCCACAACTCTTACGTGGTATCTTGTATTAGAGAGCAGTGGCCAGACTTCTTTGAACATCCATTTGAATTTGCTGCTCATTTGCAGGTAGAACTTGAGCGAGCGAAGACACAGCTCAAGTCCATGCTGATGATGAACCTGGAGTCTCGGCCAGTTATCTTTGAAGATGTGGGAAGGCAGGTGTTGGCAACAAACACAAGGAAGCTACCTCATGAGCTCTGCACCCTGATCAGTGAGTAGACAGTGCTTTTCCTTGCCTTGACTGAATTATAGGTACAGTTGGGCAGGGGGAGCAACTTACATTGTATTCTTGTATCACAGATGAATTGCCTTAGAAAGCGTGGGGGCGTAAATACTACAGGTGTATCTCAGACTGATCTTCTGAATTGCTTGCAAGCTAGCACAATGCTTATTTTTGTTAGAAGGAAGCAAAAAACAGAAGCATGGTGGAGAAGGTCTAGAGTTAGGGATTGGTTTTCTGAGCATGGGGTCTGACTCGGCATCGTAACAAAGCTGCTTTGCGCTATTTGGGATGTAGTTGTCACAGCTCTGGCTTTTTTTTCTGCAGGTCAGGTGAAATCTACAGATATCAAGAGAGTGGTCACTAAAATGCTTCATAAAAAACCAGCTGTGGCTGCACTGGGTGACTTAACGGATTTGCCCACTTACGAACACATCCAGGCAGCACTTTCCAGTAAGGACGGGCGACTCCCTCGGATGTACCGGCTCTTTCGATAAAGCAGCGCATCTTGCACACATCTGACAGACTTGCTTCTTTTTTAATATGTTTTGGAGATTATAATATTGCTGCAAGCCCTCTCCCCCGATCTTTCCAGGCATCCTGCGCACACATGGAACTATGCTACAGCTGAGCAAAGCTGCCTCAGAACACTGGACTGTGACAAGCTCGTTATGTGGGCCTTAAAGGGCCACCCTGGCTCTGGATGAGTCCTTTGACCCTCTGAGTAGGTTACAAGAGAAGGTGGGTGTATACAGCCTTCTCTTGGCACTGGGGAGAGCATAGCAAGCCAAAATACTCATCACTACAACAAAGCATGTATCTGGTAAGTCAGTCGCTGCCATGTGTTACCACTTACCCACATCAGCAGTCGAAGCGGGGCTGTCACGTTGGAGGCCCTGGTGTGTGCATTTCTTGAGGAACATGGTGGCATGTTAAAGAACTTGGCTTACATAGCTGAATTCAAAGAACTCTTACAGCTGTTACCAAGGTGAACAAAGACTTGGTCAAACTGAATTAGGAAAATACCAGTTGTTATCTATGTGAACTTAGGCAACAAGTTTCCTGCAGTCCAGGTTTTGTTACAAGCATCATGGACCCATTTCATCAGTGTAATTTACCATCGGTAGTGCTACTAGAATCATAGAATCGCATGTCTGGAAATAACATAATAATTTTGCTAGAGCTCAG